TGACTGAAACATTGTGCTGAACAATGGAATTTGACACAACACTGTAAAATGATTATGAATCAATAAAAAATGTATAAAAAAAAAGAGGAAAGGGGAGATAGGATAAATTAGGAGCATGGGATTAACAAATACAAACTACTATACATAAAAGAGATAAGCAACAAGGATTTACTGTATAACACAGGAAACTATATTCAATATTTTGTAATAAACTATAATGGAAAATAATCTGAAAAAAAAAGACTGAATCACTTTGCTATACACCTAAAACTAACACAATACTGTAAATCAACTATACTTCAATTAAAAATTGAAAATTACAAAGCATACAAAGACACAGGGAAGTATGGCCCAGTCACAGGAAAAAGGAAATTTACAGAAACCATCCCTAAGCAAGCCCAGATGCTAGACTTACTAGACAATAATTTAACTGTTTTTTCCTATGCTCAAAGAGCTGAAGGAAAACATGGACAAATAACTAAAGGAAATAAGAACAACAATGTATGAACAAGTATGGAATAGCAATAGAAAGAAAGTATTAAAAGGACTCAAACACATTCTGGACAAAAAAGTACAGTAGCTGGAATTAAAAATTCACTAGAGGGGTTCAACATCGATCTGACCAAGCTGAAAAAAGAATCAGTGAACTTGAAGACAAGACAAGTGAAATTACTCAGGCTGAGGAGCACAAAGAAAAAAAGAAGAATGAACAGAGGCTAAAGGGGCTTATGGCACACCACCAAATGTACCAACATACATATTCTCTTCCCAGAAGAAGAGGGAGAGGAAAAGGCAAAAAAAAATTTTTTTTAAGAAATAACCATCAGAACAGTCCAAAGTAGTGAAAGATAAGAATCTATACACCCAAGAAGCTCAACAAACTTCAACGGGACAAATCCCAAGAGTTCTACATCAAGATACATTATATTCAAACTGTTGAAAAACAAAGACAATGAAAGAATATTCAAAGCAGCAGAAAGGAAGTAACTCGTAACATATGAGGGACCCTCAATGAGACAAACAACAAATATCTGGTCAGAAACCATGGAGACCAGAAGACAAGGGATGATATATTTAAAGTGCTGAAGGTAAAAACTATTAACCAAGAATTCTAAAATGCAGGCAAAATCAAGACATTCCTCAACAAAAGCTAAGGTAGTTCATCACTCCATGACCTGCCCTACAAGAAATGCTAAAGGGAATTGAAAGGGAAAGGCTGAAATGAAAGAATACTAGGTAGTAACTCAAAGTCATACAAAGAAATAAAGATCATTACAAAGGTTACATAGATAAATATATAGGGTAGTATATTGTATTTTTGGTAGGTAACTCCTTTTTTTGTTTCCTATATGATTAAAAGACAAATGCATAGAACAATAATTACAAATCTACAGTAATGGGCACACAATGCATAAAGATGTAATTTGTGACAAAAAATGTAATTTGTGACAATAACAACATAAAGAGGAGAAATGGAGTTGGACAGGAAGAGAATTAATATATGTTCTTTTTATTAATTGACATATAATTGACATTTATATTAGTTTCAGGTGTAAAACATAATGATTTGATATTCATATATATTACAAAATGATCACCACAGTAAGTTTAGTTTAATGTACACTCTTGAAGCTAAGTTGGCATCAATTCAAATTAGACTGCTATAAACTCAGGATATTAATTGTAATACCCACAGTAACCACTAAGAAAATAACTTTTAAAATACAAAAAAAGGAAATGAAGAGGAAATCAAAATGGTACAATAGAAAAAAGATCAAACACAAAAGAAGGCATACTGGAGGAACTGAGGAACAACAAAAAGGTATGACATACAGAAAACAAATAGCACAATGGCAGAAATAAGTCCTTCATTATCACTAATCACTCTAAGAACAAACAGACTATTAAAGACAGATTGGCAGAAAAGATGAAAGAAAAAGGCCAACCACATGCTGCTAACAAGACTCACTTTAGATATAACACACAATAGGGTAAAAACAAAAGAATGAAAGAGGATATTCCATACAAAAAGTAACCTAAAGAGAGGTGGAACAACTATACAAATATCAGACAAAACAGAACTTAATTCAAAACTTGTTACAAGAGACACAAAGAAGGACATTTTATACTGATGTAAAAGGCCAATCTATCAAGAAGATACATTAACTATGAACATGTACACACACAAACAACAGAGCCTCCAAATATAAGAATATAAGAATCTAAAACACTAACAGAATTGAAGAGATAAAGACATTTCTACTGTTGGTGACTTCAATACCCTACTTTAAATAATGAGTGGGACATCTAGACAGAAGATCAATAAGGTACTAGAAGATATGAACAACACTATAAACCAACTAGACCTAACAGACACATACAGAACACTCCACCGAACAACAGTAGAATACATAATTTTCTCACACAAGTACACATAAAATATTCTCTAGGATAAACCACGTGTTAGGCCATAAACTTATTCTCAATAAATTTAAAAAGATCAAAATCATACAAACTATCTTCTCTGACCACAATGGAAAGAAGCCAGAAATCAATAAAGGAAAACTGGAAAACTAGTAAATGCATGGAAATTAACATACTCTTAAACAACCAGTGGGCAAAAGAAGAAATCACTAGGGAAATTAAAAAATACTTTGAGACAAATGAAAATGAAATTGCAACATACCAAAACTTATGGGACACAATGAAAGCAGTACTTAAGGGGAAATTTATAGTTGCAAATGCCCACATAAAAAGGAAGAAAGACCTCAAATCAAATAATCTAACTTTATATCTTACAGGACTAGAAAAAGAGCAAACTAATGTAAAATTAGCATAAAGAAGGAATTAATAAAGATAAGCAGAGAAACATGAAATAGAGAATAAAAAATCAGTAGAGAATCAAAACCCAAAGTCAGTTCTTTAAAAAGATTAACAAAATTGAAAAACTTTTGGCTACACTGTCCAAGGAAAAAAGAGCAAAGATACAAATAAATAAAAAGTGAGAGTGGGATATAATTACCAATCTTAGAGAAATGAAAGGATTATATGAGAATACTATGAACAACTATATACACAAAAATTAGATAATTTATATTAAACAAGTTTCTAGAAACACACAAAGTACCAAAACTGACTCAAGAAGATATTAAAAAAAAAAAAACAACTCAATGGACCTAGTAACAAGGGATGGAATCAATAATCAAAAACCTCTCAACAAAGAAAAGTCTAGGACCAGATGACTTCATTGGTGAATTCTCCCAAGTATTTAAAGAATTAACAAAAATCTTACTCAAACTCTTCCAAAAAAAAAAAGAGAGAGAGAGAGAGAGACAGAAGAAAAGGGATACTTCCTAACATTCTGAAGCCAGCATTATCCTGATACCAAAGCCAGAAAAAAAAGATATAAAAACACTACAGACCAATATCCCTTATGAATAAAGACACAAAAATCCTTAATAAAATACCAGCAAACCAAATCCAATAGTACATTAGAATTATAAACTATGACCAAGTGGGATTTATCCCAGGCATGTAAGGATGGTTCAGAAAAGGAAATCAATCAGTGTAATCCCCACATGATCATCTCAGTAGAAAAGACACTGGACAAAATTTAACACCCTTTCACAGAAAAAAAAACAAAACAAAAAACATCTCTGAGTAAAAACTTGAAGACCTTATTATAAATGAAAAACAGCAGTCCTAATAGCATCCAAAAGAATAAAATATGTAGGCATAAATTTAACCAAGGATGTGAAAGACTCATACATTGAAAACTACAAAACATTGGTTAAAGAAATTAAAGATGACCTAAATAAATGGAAAGACATCCCATGTTCATGGGTTGATAAACCCAATATTGTTAAGATGGTAATACTCCCAAAACTATTTAAAGATTCACTGAAATCCCTAACAAAATTCCAGTGGCCTATTTTGCAGAAACAGAAAAGCTTATCTTCAGCTCTGTATGGAACTACAAGGGATCCTGAATAGCAAAAACAATAATAAAAAAGAAAAACAAAGTAAGAAAAACCGTATTTCCCAATTTCAGAACATATTACAAAACTACAGTAATCAAAACAATGTGGTACTGGGGGTGGGTATAGATCAGTGGTAGAGCACATGCTTAACATGCACAAGGTCCTAGGTTCAATCCCCAGTACCTCCATTAAAAAATTTTACTTTAAATAATAAATTTAAAAAAGACAACAACAGTGTGGTACTGGTAAAACAGATGTATTAATCAATGCAACAGAACTAAGAGTCCACAAATAAACCTTTACATCTATGGCCTCTTGATTTTCAGTAAGGATGTAAAGAACATTCATTGGGAAAAGAATGAGCAAATAGTTGGGACAACTGGATATCCACATGCAAACAAGTAAATCTGGATGCCTACCTCACAAAAATTAACTCAAAATGGATCAATGACCCAAATATAAGACCTTAAAATATAAGCTCTTAAAAGAAACCACAGGGTAAATCTTCAAGACCTTGGATTTGGCAATAGATTCTTAGAGCTGATACCAAAAGCATGAGCAACAAAAAGAATAAATTGGAGGCGCGGGTGTATAGCTCAGTGGTAGAGAGCATGCTTAGCATGCATGAGGTCCTGAGTTCAATCCAGTATCTCCATCAAGTAAATAAATAAATAAGTAAACCTGATTACCTCCCCCTTCAAAAAATAAACACCTAAATAAAATATTTTTTATAAAAAGGATTGGACTTTATCAAAATTAAACACTTTATGAATGAAAGGACATAATCAAGAATGTGAAGACAACCTGCAGAATGGGAGAAAATATCTGCAAACCATATAGCTGATAATGATCTAGCAACCAGAATATATAAAGAACTCTCACAGCTCAACAAAAAGACAACCCAATTTAAAACTGAGCAAAGGACTTGAATAGACACCTCTCCAAAGATACACAAATGGCCAACAAAGACGTGAAAAGATGTTCAACATCGTGATCATTAAGGAAATGCAAAATAAAACTACAATAAGACACTACTGCACACTCACTAGGATGCCTTTAATTTAAAAAAAAAGTGCTGGCTAGGATGTAGAGAAATATAAACCCTTGTACATTGATGGTGGGAATGTAAAGTGTTTCAGCTGCTGAGCAAAAAGCTTGGCAATTTTTGGGAAAGTTAAGCATATATTATAACCTATTAGAATGGCCAAAATCCAGAACAATGATACCACCAAATGCTGACAAGATGTGGAGAGACAGGAACCCTCAGTCATTGCTGGGAGCAATGACGACATCCCTTGTACTTACCCAAAGAAGATGAAAAGTATCTTCACACAAAAACCTGCACACAGATGTTTTTAACAGCTTTATTCATAACTGCCAAAACTTGGAAGCAACTAAGATGCCATTAGGTGAAGGGATAAACTGTGGTGCATACAATGAGATACTATTCAGTGCTTAAGAGAAGTGAGCTATCAAGCCATCAACAGACATGGAGGAATGTTAAATGCATATAACTAAGTGAAAGAAGACAATGTGAAATGGACTACAATTGTGTGATTCCATTTATATGACATTCTGCAAAAGGCAAGACTATGGAGACAGGAAAAAGATCAATGGTTGCAAGGGGTTGGAGCAGGAGTGGGGGAGTGAATAGGCAGAGCACAGAGGATTTCTAGGGCAGTCAAAATACACTGTATGATACTGCAATGATGGATACATGTCATTATCTATTTGTTCAAACCTATAGGACATTCAATACCGAGAGTGAATCCTAAGGTAAACTATGGACTTGGGGAAATTATGATGTGTCAATGTAGGTTCATCAATGTAGGTACAGAGTGTGCACCATTCTGATGGGAGATGTTGATACTAGGAGAGGCTATGCATGTGTCATAGAGTCTGGAAATATATGGGAAATTTCTATACCTTCCTCTCAATATTGCTGTGAATCTAAAACTGCTCTAAAAAATACATTTTAAATTACAGAAAAAAAGAAAGTTAAGTATAGAATTACCAAATGGCTCAACAATTCTAATCCTAAGTATATACCCAAGGGAAATGAAAACATGTCTAGTACAGCATGGTGACTAGAGTTAACAATACTGTATTGCATATTTTATAGTTGCTAAGAGACTAAACCTTAAAAGTTCACATCACAAGAAAAAAAGAAATTTTGTAACTACATTTGGTGATGGATATTAACTAGACTTAATAATAATATATACAAATATCCAATCATATTGTCCACCTAAAACTCGTAAGTTATGTCAATTATACTTCAATAAAAGATGTCTATACCTGAATTTGTACACAAATGTTTATAAACATTTCCTTTATAAACATAATGCTGTTAGCATTATCCATAATAATCAAAAGGTGGAGAAAACCAAAATGTCCATCAATAGATGAATGGATAAACAAATTGTGATATATACATACAATGGCATATTATTCAGCCATAGAAAGGAATGAATTATTAAAGTACTGATAAATGCTACAATACAGATGAACCCTGAAAACATTATGTTGAGTGAAAGAAACTGGACACAAAAGGTCACACATTGTATGATTCCGCTTATGTGAGATCCAGAACAGGTAAATCCATAGACAGAACTAATATTAATGGTTACCAAGGATAGAAGGGAGCTGGGAAATGGGGAGCAACTGTTTGAAAAGTACAAGGTTTCCTTTTGGGGTGATGACAATGTTGTGGAACTAGATAGAGGTGGTGGTTGCACAACATTGTGAACATACTAAATGTCACTGAATTGTTTCCTTTAATATGGTTAATTTGATGTAATATGAATTCCACCTCAACTTTAAAAAATGAAAGGGAACATTTTTAGAAACAAAACAAAAAATTAATCTCCTTTTTCATAACAGCTTTATTGAGGTACAATTCATATACCATACAATTCACCCATTTAAAGTGTACAATTTTTTACTGTAGTCAGAGTTATGTAATCATCACCACAATTTAAAAACATTTTTATCACACTCCTGCCAAAAAAAACACCCAGTACCCATCAGCAGCCATTTCCCATTCCCTCCTCACCCACAGCTCTAGTCAACCACTAATCTACTTTCTGTCTCTATAGATTTGCCTATTCTGGATATTTCATAGAATTAGAACCATGTTATGCAGTCTTTTTGTGACTGGCTTCTTCCACTCAGCACGTTTTCAGGGAATTTCCTTTTTTTAAACTATAAAGTTTGTGCCATGTATTAAAATGTAAAGAAAAAAATAAGGACACTATTAAAGGACCACTTATGAAAAGAATAATTACTGAATACAATGGCAGATCAATAATCAAAAACAGAATTCCAGCTAAGGTAAATCTTTATAAAATGTAAACCAAAAGATTTATAAAAGCAAAACTATTATAAGATGCAGTAGAGATAAGCAAATTATGGTAAAACAAATATGTAAGGGAAAATATTTTACAAAAAAAAATCACTTGTCAAAGAGAACATCTTCCCTAAAAAAACTGTAGGAAAAGTGATCACAGGTCTAGTTAAAAGGACAAACAGGAAAAGCAAAGAATCATTGTCTTTGAGTATAAACACTCCACCAGTCAGTGTTTCTCAAAATGTGGTTCCTGGACTATGTGCATCAAAATTACCTAAGAACTTGTTTTTAAAAAATCAGATTTCTGGCCTGTACCCCAAATAACCACCAAAGATGAGACTATGGAAACTATTTTTTATAAGAACTTATAAGATGACTTTCATAGATACTAAATTTGAGAATTAATATCTAATTAACACAAACTAATGCAAATGATTAAATGTGTGTAAGAGAGGCGGAGGGTATTCTTCAGTGGTAGAGAGTGTGCTTAGTATGCACGATGTCCTGGGTTCAATCCCCAGTACCTCCATTAAAAAAATACTCATTAAAAAATAATAAATAAATAAAACTAATTATCTCCCCCCCCCAAAAATGTGTAAGAGACAAGAGAATTATGACAACAGCAAGATGCATGAAAAGAAACACTACGTAAAATTTTTGTACATTGTGCTCTTGGGAAAACATAAAGTGATGTTTGAAAACTCTTGTGGGTTTGATGAAGGAAAAAAAATTCTAAATGTGTAAATATGCAAGGCATTCTACTAATACCTGTGAGGACCACTCAGGGTATGAGTAGGAAATCACTCATAAATGTAATAAGCAATCTCTCACATGATAGAGAGAGCACACAGTAGATGCCCAAGTGTTTGTTGATGATGTCAAACTATTTTTATAACAAGTACAGTTATAGTTAATTATCTCTATCCTAAACTCTGATAACCTAGACAAAACTAAACTTTTTGCGTTTGGTAATCATTACATGAACAACAGCATAAATCGTCAAATATTGTATCAGATACTGACATAAAGCTCATGGTCAGGATATTTACTTTCAGACCAAGTTAATCTCTATTTTTATAGTAAGACTTATGTAAACAAGGACAAACAAAATTAAGAGTTAAATTTCTCAAGACTAAGACCATTGCATGATAGAACTCAAATTTTCCTGAAAATCACTACAGTCTGTATTCAAGGATAGCTTTTATTATTCTAACTGTAAGCAAAGATTCCTGAAGATTAAGTATTAAGTTCTAACTCATAATTTTACTTCAGTGAGTAAAGTCCACTTTGGCTTAGCAGGGTTAAAGAAAGGAAGTTTACTTTTATAACTCTCAAGAGGATCTCACTATCAGAATGCAAAATTTGTCTACTTTCCTCGTAAAAGGCATCTTTTCCCTATAAACTCATAAACCTAATTAAAGTGCTAAGTTCTAAAGTCTCTGACTTATTTAGATTAAGCCTTATAATGCATTTGGAAATCCAATTATTTTCCATCGAACATTAGGATGCAGATGTTTCAGCATTTCCAGACATGGTTCTTCCATATCTTACAAATAAAACAAACTATACTGGGGAATAAAGTAGCTAATGAATGCAAATAAATTACATGGGAGGTTATATTGCTTTGAAAGGAGATATTTATTTATTTATTTATTACCAACATTTGGCTTGATACATGAAGGTCTAGAAGCATCTAAAAGTTCTTTTTGACACTTTTTCATTTCACAGTTTATGTTTCAAAAGTCAGAAATCCTAGAATTGTGTAAAGCCTTAAAACAGGTTAAGATACTGGTGTGTGGACTTCTTCACTAAGGTCACAAATTTCCTGCCAACAAGCAGTCAACCAATATTCATCATTAAGCCCCAACTCCCTAGACGTCTCACTCACGTTCAATGAGGCCTCTTCTTCACATAAGTCCAGTGCAACCTATCCCCTCCCACCCCGCCCACATACACACACAAACCGACAGTCTCCAAGTCACCCACGCTGGCACAACAGCCTCTCAGCCTTTATCTGGTTGCTAATCAAGAACCATTCTTCTTGACCCTGCCTACAATCTCTTTTTCCATTTCTACTACAATACTCACTATTTAAAACAGCAAAAGAAACAAGTTCCTTTTCCTTAACCGCTGGGAGCTTCTCTAACCCTATACACCTCTCCGCCCCCACCATTCTCTATCCTGCCTTTGTTATTCATAAGGTGCAGGGGCTGGGAAAATCTCACTCACCTCATGCTATAGGCACCAGCACCCAGTTCCTGGCCGATCCCGGACAGACTAGCATCAAAGTCCTGCACCAGCCCGGATTCAATCACCTCATCGGCCAGAGGCAGCTTCAGAGCCCAGGCCATCCTGGCTCCTTCCTTGCCTCAGGAGACACCGTTTCTTGTACAAAGGCGAGCAGTGTGATTCTACCCAACGTGGGTAAGACTGCAAGACTGTAGAAAACTCCAAACCAAGGTCTCCCAAGCAGTATCCACCAGCCACCCTCAAGCCCGACCCGCACTGCCCACACAACTAAGCTCCCGCACCCTTAGATCCTCGCTCTTGTCTGTCTACTCTGACTTCCAAAATCCCTCCCCCCAGCTCTCCGGAGCCGCGCGAGGGCCGTTTGGCTTAACTCTTCCAGACTGCCCAGAGACAACCCTGGACTCCTCGCACTCCCACGCTTTGGGCTCTCCCCTTGAGCTCCTGGTGGTCACTCGCTGCTTTCCAAACAGACCAGTAGCAGCTACCGGCTGCCTACCCCGCGCTTCCACGCCGCTTTCGCACCTTTTCCCCCCGCCCCTTTCTGCTGGAAGCCCCCTCCCTCCCAGGATCCGCTCTCTTTCCCCGCCAGGCCTCACTTCCGGTCAGCCCAAGATCACTTCCGGCCACCCCTTCTAAACTACACGGCTCTTAGAACCAAATCCAGGTTTGCGCTGAGCCGACTCTCAGCCCTCTGCAGCTCCCCATGGCATCGAAACACGGATGGAGAAAGCCCAGCACGGGTTTAAAACCCAGACTCGCCAGGCTCCCCCACCGCCCGGGGCCACGGCGCCAGCCAATCATGGAGCCCTCTTCGCCGATCCGGCGAACGTGACGTCACCCTGAGGTTTACCAATGAAGAAAGGCTTCACCGGCCTCGGCAGTGATGATTGGCTAGCTTCGCCACGGCTCCCCGCCCCCGGAGATGGGCTGGGCCATCTGTAAGAGGACCCGGCGTGCGTCAGGTGGCTGGTTTAAACGGCCCTTCTTGGAGCTGCCTGAGCCCTGCTGCCCCCTAAGTATTAACTCGGCACCCTGAGGCGCGGTTGGAGCCTTTGCTCTAGTCTTACTGAACCCACACCCAGCTCTGGTCGACTCTTGACTGTTACCCAAACGCTCTTAACACGCGGTTCTTTGCTCCTGGAATACCCTCTCCTTAAACTAAACTCTCGGGAAGTCAAGACTCAATTTAAGTCCTACTTCCCTTGATAGTGTTTATCTTTCGCATTTTCCCTAATGCTTTTGAATAGGAAAGCATGAGATAGGTGAAAGTGATGTGGTTTTTAAAAGGTGGTCATCTGAAGATCGGGATTTGTGCTGGCTTCTTCACTTATTAGCTTGGTGACCAGAATAATCGCGTAATCTTACTGAGATTTAGCTTTCTCATATTTGAAAAATAGGGATAAACGTACCTACTCTATCTTCCTCCTTTGAGGGTTAAATAATAATGTCAGTTGTTTATTTAGCATCAGCTATATACAAGGAACTTTATTACATTATCGGTAATCCTTAAAACAATTGTAACTAGAATTACAATTCTAAAGACAAAAATTAATAACCTCAATTTTACCAATAAGGAGAGAAGGCTAAGCGCTTAAATTGGTTAAACTGGACTGCCAACTTCAGAGCCTATTCCAAACCCTGACATTTTCCACTACAGGACATTGCCTATATGTGTTTCATTTTTGCATTTCGTTATTTAATTTTTACAGTGTCTTGAAATAGCTAGCTAGCTAGATATAAATAGATAGCTGCCTTTTTCACTAGACTATGATCTCCTAAAGAATAGAGAATGACCCTATTGGTTAGGCTTGTGTTCTAAGCATCTCCTAATATGGTTCCTGCATTCAATGGGACTTTTTAAAAATGCCTATTGAATTACAAAAGAAAAGGAAAAAGATTAACATGAAGTTGACAACACATCCCCAGTTTCAGCCAGGGTCTTACCTCTTTGAGGGTTCTGGCTTATCCATCTTCTTACCTTAATAAGCCAGGCATCCAAGTCTCGGTTCATTCCCTAGACATTCAACATCAAGACATTCAAGTCATTTCTTTTCCCCTTGAGCCAATTTTATCTCAAAACTTATGCATGTGGGTAAAGGAATGAGTCTTGGGCTCAGAGACCAAAAGAGAAATGTCATATTCAAAATCCTTTATAAACAAGCCTTGTATCCAGAGTATTTTTAAACACCAATTAGGTAAAACCAAGCCTTGTTTGAACAACAGCACCACTAGA